GAGAGAGAGAGAGAGAGAGAGAGAGAGAGAGAGAGAGAGAGAGAGAGAGAGAGAGAGAGAGAGAAGCACCTTGTATCAAGAAAAAGAAATGGATGGAGTTTGTAAGGCACAAGACACAGCATCACCAGCTTCTACTCAGTTTTTTTTACATCAGTTTATGGTTTACATAAATCACTTGGTAAAGAAATGCTCACTAAACAAGAGGCATCTGGCAAAATAAAAAAAATCTAGTTTCTTATTTTTTGTAAGGCTACAGGTTTAACAAGAAAAATAATAATTCAAGTGTCTTGACAGTAAGAATTTGTTAGAGGCTACAGTCCCCTAAGGCATGCATGAACAATCAACTTAAAAATTAGCTAACCCTGTGGCTTTCAGACCCTCAAACACTTATGAAATGCTAAAATGTGTCTAAAAAACTGAAARTCAACAGTTTATAATTTCATTGTACTCTACCTATAACTTTAATGATGGGAGCACAAACTTGTATCAGTTCAAATATTATTTATCAATTTCTAAGATTCTATTGTAAAAAAAAAGGGGGGGGGCATGAAGATCTATTCCAATCTACACTAAGAAGTGTCAGGGAACTTCTTTACATTACAGTTCATAGCAAAAATTAAACTACAGAAACAAAAGGATGTCTGTCTAAGCAGATGATCCTGAAACAGGAATTGTCAGATCTACGTTTAGACTGGTCATGATGACACAGCTTTATGGTTTGTTGTTAACAGTACCTGAAGATGAGTTACAATGAGAACTGTTACTACAGTGAGATTTCTTCTTTTGTGTTCAAGAAAATCCACCAACCAGAAAAATCAGGAACAGCACATTTAAAGCAATRTGTGTTGTCTAAGAGAGTTGCTGAAATAGAATACAAACATATGGAAAAAAAGTAATGAAGCAGCCTCCGTATCAAACTGCTTGTCCAGGAGCCAAAGGATGCAAGCTGATGAGGTCTCAAACTTTTAAAGAAAGTTTTGGAAAGTGTTTTTTCTAGGGAAAAAAAAGTTTAGATCAAAAGCACAATAATTTTTTCAGATTATATTTTAATTTATTTTTAAGAAAACTCTTCACTTATGATGTTTTTTGGCTGAGAGATAGAAAATCTGCTCTAGAAACATTTTCCCGTGGTTACAAGTAGTTGCATTTGGTATCAATTGTCTGGACAGCTGTTTCGCCTTTTTAAATCAATCTGATATCACAATGGAGGAGAAAGGTTCCACTGCAGCATCTTGGCATCGGTGAGGTCACAATTGGTAAGCTGGTGAAGTTGTGCCGCCTTTCTCCAGTAAAATAGCTTACTGAGTCGACTTTTACATCACTGCGCACTTCTTCTCTTCTGGAGGCGCGTTCCCATCAGCCTTCTCCATCTCCAAAATGATTCTCTTGAAAACCTCCACAGCAGTCTGTGTTGGGGGGGAGACRACACCATGTGTCAGGGGGTGATTCTGTGTTTACATTTCATGCAAAGTAAAAATGGGAAAGGATTAACATCTTTACCTCGTTCTCCTTGGCTGAAGACTCCATGAACGCAGCACCCCAGGAATCAGCAAGTTTTTTCCCCTCCTCTGGCTTGATAACCCTTAAAATAAAAGAGAAACGCTTTTTCATGATACACACAGTTGTTTAAAGCAATAGTTTCACAGACTCAGCCAAAGCAGATTTATTTTTAAACCCAAGTCTTTTAGGACTCTTACATTCTGTCACAGTAAATTTTACCACCTATACATGTCCATGTGTTGACCACTAACTATACATGTTGTAAATTCATTTGAATTTTTTTGTTTGGAGACATAATTGAGCTTTTTTAGTTAGTTGGTTTGAAGTTATCTTAAATGGAAACTACCTGTATTGTTCTTGTTTTTCTTTTGTTGCTTTTATTTATTATATGTTTTTGAAGGAGTCTAAGCAAAACTTTATCTAAAGTTATGAAATTCAAAAAGAAAAAAAGAGGAAATGCTAATTTTTTGTTGCAATTTCTGTAGTCCCCAGCAGAAGGAGCTGCTTTCACTGTAGATATAATTTGACAATCTTGTGTCCAACACCACTCTGATTATCAACATGTCACTCAAGAGGAATTGTCAAAGTGTGGTGGTAAAAATGCTAGAATTATGTAATTCTTCATAATGATTATGTAATCGCATTATTAAAAGACCAAGAGCTTGATAAAGGTCAAGTTTCACTGTTGGTCAGATGCACTGGAGTTTTACTTTTTAAGACCTTGTCAAACTACAATGTTTTAGACAATTTATGCARCATCTGCAAATTTTGTCCAACACACTGGCACATCCAGGAGAGAGAAAAAAACATCCAATAGCAGCCTCTTTTAGACGCGATCATACCGTGTTGCTAACGACTTGAACAGATATAAAACCTATGAGTAAACTGTCCCTATCTTAACCATAACACCAACAAGCTTATTATAACAGGTTTGGACTTTAGTAGCACATACGTGCAATGTTAGTGAAACTTATGCAGAACTTCTGCATAGCATGGTGGAGCAAAATGCGACAGCGGCAGATGACAGAATGGCGCTCAGCATAAATATATGAAAATAAATAAATAAAACACGCTGATGGAAGTTAGGTGTAATTTTAGAATAACTTACGAACACGTTAATATACCAGGSCATATGCTGTCATATGGAGATACCAGTGCATAATTTTGAACATGCTCACAAATTTCACTGTAAGCGGAACTKTTGATCATTTTTWCATGGTTCAGGTCTGTTACAAGTACGTTTTTATTATGTACATATATACATGCTCATATAGGCTAGGTGAAAGCTACTCCTATGTGTACATGTCAGAAACAAACTGGGTAATTATGAATCGGACATGGAACTTCTATCAGAATGTGTGGGTGTGTCCCTCAATGATTGATGATTGTCTGGCCAACATGCTGATAACACCCAACTTATGCAACTTACACCAGCGTGTAGGACAAAACTTGCATAGATCAGCATAAGTTGTCTAAAACGTCATAATGTGACAGGGCCTTAAGATTAGAAACTTGTATTTCTGAGAATCATTTTATGTTTCATCATCATGTTTAATAGGGATTTTTTTTGTATTAATGGGTTAAAGTGTTGTTTTTATATATTGAACCCCTTTATAATCTGAACTACATGTAAGGCAATTAAATTATTTGGACCAGAGTCCCAGAGCGACAGGTGGTTCTCGTCGTGTTGAGAAAACTCTTACTCTGAAGTGAAAACAGACATTTTTATGACGACACTTACCTTTCCATGTGAAGATCTTTTTTGTTTCCTACAAGAACAGTTGGGACCCTAAGTAGAAAACATAGTGGAAAATGAACATATCATTTAAAAAAAGTTTATTCTGTTTAATTCTGTAATCTCAGAAAGTGTAATAAACCAACTACACTTACTGAATCTTCCCAACCATGTCTAGCAGCTTGTCATGTAGAACCTGCACAACTTCAAAACTGGACAAAGACAGATGTCAGTTAGTTTTGGAGAAGTGTCACCAAATTTACAACTATAAACTATCCGTCCAACACTTCCACATCTGAATACATAAAAGGCTGAGCTGTACCTTAAGCACACTACACTACAATATGAACAAATATGGTTGAAAAACCACAGCCTTGACCATGCTGCACTTCTGTGGGTTTTAAAATGAATGTTGCTCTCACTCAAAGGCAAAGACAGAATATATGTAAACATAAAATACACGAGTTTAAAAAGACATAAAGCATTTACTAACTGATTGGCAAAGTGACTGCATTAAGTATAGTGCTTTTACAGCCTTATTGACAACTCAAAGTGCTTTTACACAAAAGGTCTCACTCACCCAACCACCCACACACTGTTCAGGGCAGCCTGGAGGCTGATAGCACCCAAGGACACTTCAGCATGTGCTAGAGGCAAACTACCACTATTCCTCAAGTTGCAGACCCTCTAACTAAAATTGAGTGTACTATATACAATGTAAGTTTTATTAGACATATAAATAAATAAATTAATAAATAAATAAGTCTAAACACATGCATGTTAGTTTGCCTTTAGGCCCCGGCCTCCTTAGCAAAAGAGAGTTGTGATCTTAATGGGTTTTGGTTGGTTAAATTAAGGTTAATAAATAATGAAGAAATTAATAAAACCTCCATAAACTGACCTTTTCATAGAAGTCACTGAATAGACAAGGACATAGCCATGGATGTCCATTGAGTGGGATTGTGGGAAAATTGAGTACTCATCCTACAGACAGGGAAGACCAATAATAATAATAATAATAATAATAATNGCTCAGTTCAGTGCAACACCGGAAGCTGGAGGGAAATACTTCCGGGGAAGTCGCTGTCACAAATAGGCAGATGAAAATTCTGAATTACCTCAATGAAACGGCTTTGGCAGCGGCAGGTATTGTTTCGGACATCGATGAATCCGGTAGTTTCATATAGAGCTCTAAATGACAGCCTTTTTCTTGTTTTAGTAAGCTAAGTAGTAGTTAAATTAGCCGCTGAGTTAAGGGTGGCGGTGGCTGCCATAGCAACCGCTACTGAAACACTAGGCTAGTTGTTTGTTGTTAGCTTCTGTGTTAGCCTTTAACATGACGTCGAACAGACTTCAGTTTCTAATTTCGCGATAGTCAGTCAGTCGGTGTCAGTCGACAATGTTGTCTCTTGTTGCGTTTGTTTATATTTCTCCGTTTTAACCTCGCTCGTCGATGTTTAACAAGCTGTCTATGATGTCAGACTGTGTGGTTGTGGAGTTGAGTTTAGCTAACTTGGTAATTTCCACGACATCCAGTGAGCTAACGCTAGCCACCGAGGCCGTTAACTTCAGGTACCTCACTGTCGCCGTTACATAAACGCTGTCAACAATATGGACTTCAGATTAAATGACCACAGAAGCACAGAAATTTTAGATAATCTAAACTAAACTATGAGTTTAAAGCTTATTTGAAGTGTGTTGTGTTTAGTGATGTCTTTGAATGGTATGTCAGAATCGAACATAACTTAGCTAATGTTCTGTTTTCTGGTCATATTTAACCCATATAAGGTTTACATATGGGCATGGTTAGCATTAGAAGCTAATGCTGTAGTTAATATCGATGTCCAAAATGTATAGGCTCTAAAACCACCCGAATATGTTGGTTATATACTAAACTTAAGAAAGTTTATTTATGTTTGATTGTCTGTTTGTGGTTATAAGTATCAGTTGTAGTGTTCAAAGTGCCTGATTCAGTCTTTCTAGCATTTGAAAACATACCAGTTTCTAAACTTGCAAAATCCTAAATTTTCAGAGTTAGAAACTTTCCATGGAAGGGGATTTTAATTACATTTAGGGATTTTCCCCCCTTAATTCCCCCTCTCAATTAAAAATTTATTTCAGTAGTTTATCTCTTACGAGAGGTACTCCACCCTAAAAAAATTAATAAATAAACTGGTTGGATTTGAAAAAGATGGAAATAGTATCATGCAAAACCTTTAGTGAGTTTTGTAGTTTTGTTAAGTGCAGTTTACTGAAATTTTGTTTTTATGTAAATAAAATTGCAAAAATAATGGTCAAATGACATGTAAATAGCATGGTTCAGAGTAGTGTGAATGAAATTAGACATTTCTGTAATTTTTGTCTATTTTATTGATTTTATTTTTGTGATAGGTTTTTGTTTTGTTTTCATGTGAATCCAAAGATAAAAATAGAAAAGTGGTCTACATGAATTAAAAAAACAATTACATCAGTAACAAAAAATAACTTCAGAAATGTTGAAAATGTATTGTTTTCTGAAAGTTGTGTTGTTGTGACATAGTCATGTTTTAATTCGCAAATTAGGGCATTAAATTGGTTACTTAAATTAAGTCAAACATATTAATTGTTTCTGACATTATACGCTAGTGACCAAACAAAATGTTCATATTTTTGTTTGGATATTATAAAAAAATTAATCCTGAATGTCCAATTAATTCCCATAATTCCCATGGGAAGTTTCCTATTTGAAATATTTCCAAATTTCCTTATTTTAACTTCTTATGGAAAGTTTCCAGAAATGTATTAAAATGTTTCTTCCCTGTTGCAGCTCTGCCTGCACCTATGTTCTCATTAGATAAATTAAGTTTTGAGTTCCATTGCACTAATAAGTGCGTGAGAAATAACTCACCCCCTGAATTAAATGTAGTTTCAGAATCCTTGAACTAGTATGGATGTAGATGACTGTAATGGCCGATCCTACATATCAGGTAAATTTTGTTTTTAATGGCCGATACATTTGGTTTTTGAAGTTAAGAGTATTGTTCCAATGTTCCTCATCTTTGTGGTTTCAGGCAGTGGAGACTCCTCATTGGAAAGAGAGTTTTCTGGGGCCTTTGGAGGCGCAACAGTGAGCACCCCAAACAGCAAGGAGAACTCTCCAAGTCGTTCCCTCAGTGGTGAGTGTGAAATTAAAAGCCACCTTTTCTGTTTTAGGATACTTCCATGGACCTGTCTGTTAATCTTGCAGTGAACTGTTTCACATAAAAGTATTGAACTTGATACATTAAGTGGGATTTACATCTAGACTACCCTCATAACTAATGGCAGGCTTTCTCCATGTGTGCCTCTGTAGCCAACTGTATTAAAGTGGAGCTGTACAGCGATGAAGACTTAGGTCGTGGTCAAGAGGATGAAAAGACGGAGCGGGCAGAGGAAGGAGGTCCAGGGCAGGAATCAGAGTCTGGAGGAGGCTACAGGGAGCTCACTAATCCTGAAGTCATGCCAGCTGGAGCCACCAGACTACCAAATGGAAAGCTCAAGTGTGACATCTGTGGAATGATCTGCATCGGTCCTAATGTTCTTATGGTGCACAAACGCAGCCACACAGGTGACTCTTTGGTTACCTTCAGATAAATAATTTCACTAAAAAGATGTCTTAAATTTTTATTTGTAAATAACTTGAATTGGAATTAGAAAATGTGCACAAATTTTAAACTCTTTCTAAGCCGGTGAACACAACCGGACTACATAACTTGACAATAATAATAATAATCATAATAATAATAATAATAATTAAATCAAAAATGTTACATAAAAAACACAACTGGTGTTTATATAAATCAGTCACTACTAATAAGACTTCTGATAAAAGTTGGCTTAAACAATCAACTATGTTTACTGTTCAAAAATGTTAAGATCTAAAGACTAATGATTGTTTTTGGTAAAAAAAAAAAAAAAAAACAGTAACTTACTTGTCCAGCTGTATCAACTAGCTGAAGATTGAAGTCTTGACCATTCACATTAACCATTTTGTTAAAGGCTGGAAAGATAAACAAATGAGCAAGTGTTAAAACCGTCACATTGAACCACTTGATTATTTTTAAGCAATATGCTACAACTGAGCAATAAAATGATACCTACTGTTTTCAATGGTGGGGTCGTAGGAGTCAACAAATTGTCCTTCTACAAACTGTATTGTAAGAGATGACTTTCCTATGGAAACACAGATAAAAGTGGTTACTTTACTAACAGTGTTAATTTGATCCTCAAGTCCACACACTTAAATGTGGTTGGATCAGACACTAAACCCTGGGATACTCCTGATAGACGACAAGCAGCTTGCACTTCAGTTCTACTGCCTATTGTGTGCAAGTCTGTGTGTATAAATAGGTAAATAACTTGGAGCACCAGGCACTTAAGGTTTTTTTTTATTATTATTCTATTTTTGCTACTTATTCTCCTACCAGTCTTCCTAACATGTTGAACTCCGAACAAGCAGCATTTGAAAAATATTAATGAACAGGTGGTAAATGTTGGCTACCAATTCTGTCTTTGCAGGCATCACTGCAACCCATTAAAACCCAAGTATTGAAAATGCTACAAAAAAGTAAAAACTGCTGCATAAACAAAGCAATACAACTATGTGATTATGCTTGCCTTGTACATAATTTATGTATTTTAAGTATGAGTTTAATTGGCATTTCAGCAGCCAATTGTTTTTCTGTTCAGACAAAATTATTTGTTTTTCTGTTCAGATTACAGGACTGTCTGAATCCAGAAAAGGTAACGTTTAATAATGTTTAACGTTTTTACCTAATTTCCCTCTGGGATCAATAAAGTATTTTTGAATTGTTTATATTCTTTTTAGCAGATGCCTTACTTTGAACCTATAAATTTGTTTAGTATATGAGCTATGTAAAGGGTTTATATTTAAGTAAGATTTTTTTCCGTATGGATAAACGGACAAAATACAGTTTAATACACTTTTCCAGCCAGAATATATATATATAGTGACGTGTCTATAGTGTGTTATTTTGAGACAATACTTTCCAAGCTGAGCAACACAATGTGGTGCAACAAGCTAGCGGGCACATGAGGGTAGTGTAGAACATAAACAAATGTAGCAGGTCAAGAGTGTTCAATGCCTGATATCGGGAATTTCTATAATATCCAGACTATGGCCAGACTAGCTTCATGACACAACGAGATAAGATATCACCGACTATGCTAACTTTTATTTCTTATTTAGTACATTAAGGAACATGTAGCTATAAGCATACAACAAAATTAGTTTTAAAAGTGGTAAACAAACATTCATGCAACATAAAAAGCGCAACAAAACAAAGACAGGACAGTGTTTTCTATTGCGTGATTGATGCTCTCAAAAAGAAAACAAAGCCAGGATGTTAGCATGTTAGCCTGCTAGCTAGCTAACTTACTCGTACGTACTCACCTACGGACCGGTAACCTATAACAGCGATCTTTCGATATTTGTGTTGAGGCATTGTAGTGAAACAGTGTTCAAAATGTTCTGGAAAAAATGTAGCACGCCAACTAGTTTTACAGTCTAAACAAACTTTTATCGCCACATTCGTCTCTTACGTCACGTGACAACAACAAACTTTTCGGATCCTGGATCTCCCTCTCCGCTGGGCCTCGCGCTAGTTTCGGACTTTAGTTCAAATAAAACAAGTACAACCCGTGCCTATCTCATCAAGTACTCTCTCTTTATGTCTGGTAATCAGCATCGGTGTCAAGTAAGGTTTCAAAGTGAAGCGGAAAAAGCCGTTTTAACCTGTACTGGAAACAAAAAAAGGGAGAAAGTTCAACGCGGTCGCTGACTGCAAGTCAAACTGACGGAAATTGCCATTGTGTAAGCACACCGTCGTAAAACGAGCGAACACGTCAGAGAAAAGACATGAACGAGSCATTCAAGTTTATCTGTACAGCAGAGGTCACTGTACGTCCCAGCATGTTCCTGACAACCTTCATTTTTAGACTTTTCCAGGCTGATCTCCCTCCTACCACGGAGTATTAGGGCCACACAACGAAACTTTTTTTAAGTTACGATAATAAAGTCATGATATTACGACATTAAAGTCGTATAAAAATAAACTCATAACATTGTGAAAAAAAGTCGTAATATTACGAGATTAAAGTCGTAATAATACGAGATTAAAGTCATAATATTACGAGAAAAAGGTCATAATATTGATGATGATGATGATGATGATGATGATGATGATGATGATGATGATGATGATGATGATGATGATGATGATGATGATGATGA